ACCTCGTGATCCGCCTGCCTCAGCCTCCCAGAGTGCTGGAATTACAGGCGTGAGCCACCGCGTCCGGCTTGCCTTCATTTTTTCAATAAAACTTCTTTAGTGCTTCATTATGGAGAAATTAGGGGAAAAAAAGCAGATAAATGGGAGAAATTAAAAAGCAGAAACCCTCTCCTCTGTAACATAGTCCCATCACCAAGAGTTAACCATTGGTAATATCCAAGTAAATATTCTTCCAGTCTTTGTCACATATATAGTAGTTTTTAAGTATTTTTTTTCATTCCAGAAATGTAAATTTTAATCTAAGTGTCATTTCTTCATACATCCAGAACAGGTGTATTTACATTTTCTGTCAGTTGTTACAGAAGATGGCCCAGAGCCCAAGGACAAAAGATCATTGCCACAACCACCCATTACTGAAGCGGAATCACAGGTGTTCTCAGAAAAACTTGCTACTGACACCTCTACATTTGAAGCTACCTCTGAGGGTACCTTACAACTGCAGCAGAGAAATCCCAAAGCGGAGACACTGAGGGGGCCCCCTGCCCAGGGGAAAAGTTTCAGGCAGATGGTTGTCACCCATAAGGAAATTCCCACAGGGAAGAAAGAGCATGAATGTAGTGAATGTGGTAAAACCTTCATTTATAACTCACATCTTGTTGTCCACCAGAGAGTTCATTCTGGAGAGAAACCCTATAAGTGTAGTGACTGTGGGAAAACTTTCAAACAGAGCTCAAACCTCGGTCAGCATCAGAGAATTCATACAGGAGAGAAACCCTTCGAATGTAACGAATGTGGGAAGGCCTTCAGGTGGGGTGCTCATCTTGTTCAGCATCAGAGGATTCACTCAGGAGAGAAGCCCTATGAGTGTAATGAGTGTGGGAAGGCCTTTAGTCAAAGCTCCTATCTCAGTCAGCATCGGAGAGTTCACAGTGGAGAGAGACCTTTTATATGTAAAGAATGTGGGAAAGCTTATGGGTGGTGCTCAGAACTCATTAGACATCGGAGAGTTCATGCCAGAAAAGAGCCTTCCCATTGAACTGAAGGGGAGAACGTCTCCAGACAGGATTCTACATCGGTCTAATCTACTTTAGGACTGGATCCCATAAAAGTTATAAGCTCCTTAAGATTTTTCCTGTGTCTTTCTTGATTTAGGAAAAACTATTTACTTAGTTCTGCCTGTAGATCATCCCTTCATGTCCTTTGATTAAGATACTGATATTCATTAGGACGCCTTTGGCTGCAAGTAGTAGCCAAGTTGGTTTACTTCTCCTTTCTAGCATGATCTGCCTAGTTTGCCTACCAATAATGTCTACTTAATTATAAT